GTTGTGAATGCCACATACATAATACTTTTTTTTTGGCTTTAAATATTTCTAGGTTGATGACTTTTTCCTTTCAAAAAAAATTAAAAATGTTGCTCCCCTGCCCTCTAGCTTCTATAGTTTCTATAAGAAATCCGTTGCTTCTTCCTATTTCTGCTGCTTTTAAGATTTTCTCTTTATCAGTCCTCTACCTTTGTATTATTGGGGTCAGAGGGCATGTGCCACAGCACCTGTATGAAGATCAGAGGACTATGTGCAATTGGTTTGTCTCCTTTCACCTTTGTATGGGTTCTGGAGATTAAACGCAAGTTCCCAGGCTTTCAGTGTAAGCACCTTTGCCCACTGAGCCATCTCACTGACCCCTCTGCTCATTTTTTTGTAGCCTTTTTTCTTTCTGTGTTTCAGTTCGGAGAGTTTACGTGGTTCTGTCAAGTCACTAATCCCTTTTATTAAAGCAAGTATGTTAATCTTCTGCAGAGAATGTGTCATCTCTGCAGTTTCATGCCTAGATAGAGATTTTGTTGTTTGTTTCTTCCATATCTCTGCTTAGTATGTTTAGTTTTAACTTCTTGAGCATATGTGCTATATCAGTTTTATTTTTAAAGATTTATTTTATTTCTAATTGTGTACTTGTGGGTATCTGTGTGTGGGCATGTGCATGTGAGGGCAGGTGCCCACAGAGGCCAAAAGAGGGCAATGGAGCTGGAGTTACAGGTGGTTGTGAGTGCTGGAAACTGAACTAGGGTTTTCTGCATGAGCAGTATTTGCTCCTCACTGCTGAACCACCTCTCCACCTCTTCCATGTCAGTTTCGATTTTTCCCTCCCTTGTTAAGGTTGTAATTTCCTGCCTTTTTTATTTTTGAGTGCTAGCTTAATTCACCTTTTTGAATGCTGGATGTTCCTCCATTCCTCTCAGTAATCTTGAGCTTTGTTCTAGGATGCAGCTTAGAAATGTTTGATCCTTTACTTTCTTGCTTTTAATCTTTGTTAGTAGAGCTAGCAACATTCAGTTTATAGTTATTTTTCTCCACTTGTTCTAGTTTCATTTTTTTGCTGTGACAAACACCATGACCAAGAGCAATTTGAGGACAGGCTGTATTGGGCTTACATTTCCAGGGTCATCATTGAGGAAGTCAGGGCAGGAACTCGGGCAGGAACTTGAAAGAGAAACCATGGAGGAACACTGCTGGTTGGCTCACGCCTAGACTCAGCCTTAGCTAGCTTTTTTATTCACCCCAGGACTACCTGCCCAAGGATAGTACCACCCACTGGACCTTCCTGCATCAGTTAACAATCAAAACAGCATAGACATGCCTACAGGCCAGTCTGATCTAGGCAATTCCTCAATCAAGGCTTTCCTCTGAGATGATTCTAGGCTGTGTCAATTTAACAATTAAAGCTAACTAGGACACCACTCCTGAAGCCAGACTCTTCTGAGCATGCTCTACCTGATGTTGCATGAGTTATGTGTGTTTCCAGCTCTGTTTTGAGCGTGGTCATAGCACATTCTTCTGTACAGTGCTTCTATCCGCAGCCTGGGACAGTCTCCTCATATTCCAGTGCCTTTGTAGACCACCAGACTCTCACATTGAGCCTAGTACTGTCTCTGGATGCAGCTGTCTGCAGCTCCCCATTTTCACTGTATCTGCTCAGCTCTCTGACTCACTTTCTGTGTTTCCTGCCTCAAGGATCACTAACCCCCGTTACCTGAGATCTGATATCGGGAGAACTGGTTTTATTATTATTTTTTTCCTCCTTAAAAAAAAAAACAAAAAACAACAACAACAAAAAACATTATTACATTTTAAGTTTTTATTTGTGTGTGAGGGAGTGTATGTATATGTGTGAGTGCTCATGTGCCACAGCATGCATGTCGAGGTCAGAGGACAGCTTGCAGGAGTCAGTTCTCTTCTTCCACAATGTGGGTCCCAGAGATCAAATTCAGGTTGTCAGGCTTGGTGGCAAGTGCTGAGCTATCTCATCACCCCTCTACCTTTTTTTTAAAGGTGTTTCAGGTGAGACCTTAAGTCCAGTTCCAGCTGCCTTGGACAAAAACTTGATAAAACAGCATTGTGGAGGAGATGGTCCAGCCAGTAAAGTGCTTGCCATGCAATTCAACCTCCAGCATCCGTGAAAAAAGCAATGCTAGCTGGGTGTGGTGGTGCACACCTTTAGTCCCAGCACTTGGGAGGCAGAGGCAGGCGGATCTCTGTGAGTTCAAGGCCAGCCTGGTGTACATAGTGAGTTCCAGGCCAGCTGGGGCTACAGGGAGACACTGTCTCAAAAAGACCAAAAAAAGAAAAAAAAAAGAAAGGAAGGAAGGAAGGAAGGAAAGAAAGAAAGAAAGAAGAAAGAGAAAGGGAAAAGCAATGCTGCATGCTTACAATCCAGGTGCTGGGATGGCAGAAACAGGCAGATCTCTGGAGCTTGATGGCTAACCCTAATCAGTGAGCCTCAGAACAGTCAGAAACCCTGTCTCAAAATCGTGGGCTGAGTGTGGTGGCACATTTCTTTAATCCTAGCACAGGCAGGCTGAGATTGAGGCCACCCTAGTTTACATAGCGAGTTTCAGGCCAGCTGGGGCTACAGGGAGACCCTGTCTGAAAAAACAACAAACAAGGTGGACAGTGCCTGAGGAGCAACGATACCCAAGGTTGTCCTCTGGCTTGCACCTTTGTCTCTGGCCTCCACACATATGTGCACACACATGGATGCGTGCACACACACACAAACTGTACTTAAGTGCTAGAGACATAGCTTGATACTAGAACATATGCTTTTTGGTGCTAGGGATTTAATCCAGCACCAAATAATAAATAATCAAACAAACTATTTAAAAATGAATGGGGCTAGGGGCTGGAGAGATGGTTCAGCAGTTAAGAATACTGGTTGTTCTTGCAGAAGACCTGGGTTCGAATCCCAGCACCCACATGGCAGCTAATAACTGTCCAAAACTCCAGTTCCAGGGGATCGGACAGCCTCTTCTGTCCTCAAGCATTGCACAACACGGGTGCACTTACCTACACATGGGCAATACTCACATACACATAAAATAAAAATAATATTTTAAAAAATGAATGGGACTAAAGATGTAGCTCAGTAGTAAAGTGTTTGCCTAACATGTACAAAGCCTTGGGATCCATCCATGCCTAGCACAAAAACAAACGAAAATGTGGGAGTGGGGAGAAGAAAAAGAAAAATGAAAGAGAAGGGTAGGATTTGGCCCATGGCTCCTGCCTTAGTTCAGGCCTGTGTTTTGCTGAGTATTTTAATGTTTTTGTCTTATAAACCATTGCCATCTTTGCCTTATTCAAACACACATCTCAAGTTACTGACTCAGTAACCTCTGGCTCACTACAACATGCCTAATAAAGGTCAGGATTCTGTCAGCCTGACAACTTCCATAGTCTAGCTCTTCTTGGGTTTCTAGTCACTCAAGTGGCTCCCTGAAACTTTGTAAATCCTTATTTTCCTGGTGCACTGTGCCTGTTACATCACTTAGAACTTAGAAACTGTTGCCTTTCTTGGAAACCCTGCTTAAGCCCACCTCCTTTGAGAAGTATTCCAGAGCCCTTTGTAGGAGATGGCTTTCTCTTTCACCTTGTTTTAGCACACTGTTTGAATGTTCCTCTTTGTCTACCTCTATTTGCTGTGCCAGAAATGTGTGTGTGTGTGTGTGTGTGTGTGTGTGTGTGTGTGTATACTCCATTGACTCAGGATCCCTCAGGTGAGCACTGTGTCATCTTGTCTGTCTCTACTGTTCAGTGCAGAGCTGTATTAGTATTATATCACTATGGTGAAATACCTGACAGAGGCTCACAATGAAGAGGCTTATTTTGGCTCATAATTCTGGAGATTTCAAGTCCAAGATTGAATGATCCTGCTGGCTCAGGTTTCTGGTGAGGGCAGCACATCAGGTACTCACATCTCATACCACGAAGGTGGGGGAAGGGAATAATGGAGTCCCATGATCTCTTTTAAGAGCATGCCCCCAGTGACCCAAGGGCCTTCCACTAGACCCCACCTCTTAAAGATCCATAACACCTTCCAGTGCTGTTATCCTGGAGACACACATGGGCCTTTGAAGAACATTCAACTTTCAAATGATAGTGAAGGCCAAACTGTTTGAAGTAACATATAAGATTTATTATCTTGGGGCTGGAGAGATGGCTCAGCAGTTAAGAACACTGGTTGTTCTTGTAGAAGACCTGGGTTCAAATCCCAGCACCCACATGGCAGCTAACAACTGTCTATTACTCCAGTTCCAGGGGATCCGACTGCCTCTTCTGTCCTCTGCAGACAATGCACAACATGGATGCACTTACCTACATGCAGGCAATACACACATACACATAAAATAAAAATAATAAATAAAATATTTTTTAAAAAGATTTATTATCTTGAAGACTAAAGTGACACCTCAGTTGGAAAAGTCCTTGGTGCACAAGCATGAGGACCCGAGTTTGATCCCCAAGGACCCACATTAAGAAAGAAAATGCTGGGTGTGGTGGTGCACACCTGTAGTCCTAGCACTTGGGAGGCAGAGGTAGGCGGATCTGTGAGTTCAAGCCCAGCCTGGTCTATATAGTGAGTTCCAGGCCAGCTGGGGCTACAGGGAGACCCTGTTTCAAAACAAAAGAAAGAAAAGAAAACAGGGCATGGTGATGCACACTTTTAATCCCAACACTTGGGAGGCAGAGGCAGGCGTGCGCACGTATACACACACAAAGATGGAAGTGTTAAAAAGTAAAACTTTTAAAAATAAAAAAAAGTATTTTCTTGGGGAGAGTAGTAGTGCTCTGTGCAATGATGCAGTATGGCAATCATTCTTGACCCCTCCTTTGGGAACAGGTATGCAGACCCTTCTGAGGAAGTGGGCTATAGGCAGCTATCTGGTTTCTGGACTTTTTTTTCAGGCCTTGTTGGTGGCAGAGCCTTGCCCCTCCTGGTCTCTGCGTCTATTGCCACTTCTTCAACAACCTATTGTCCTTTCGTTCCACAGAGCTTCGGTGCAACCCTGGGCAGTTTGCCTGTCGCAGTGGCACCATCCAGTGCATACCCCTCCCCTGGCAGTGTGATGGCTGGGCCACTTGTGAGGATGAAAGTGATGAAGCGGACTGTCCAGGTGAGTGTGTGGATCAGGTGAGGTGCACACGACCTGCCTCTTGCCATAGCAGGGTGAGTATGCCTCTCACAAGGAATAGAGAAGCATGACCAGGCAATCCATGTGGTCTTTTACACATTGGAAGGGTAGCGTGAGCTGACCCTCTTTATCTTTTTTAAAAGTGTTTGACATGGACCAATTCTAGAATGCAGGAGTTGGCAGTACTGGGCATGTGAGGAGGCAGGTGAGCTACTGCTAGCCCTGGACTGGCACAACCTTGAGAGTGAGATCTCCTAGTGCTCAGTGGCTCTGTGTGTTGAGCTTTGGCTAATGTCCTGACAAGTGTAGACTGGCCGTGGCACCACTCACTGCCCTTTCCCACTCATTCTCTAGTAAGAAATCCCATGGGTTTTCTTGTGGCAAGGTATAGGCTCCTAAAGATGTATGGGGAGACCACAGAATTCTGTAAGTTGTTGGTTATGAAGATGGTTTCTCTCTCAGCACCTTGAGGAATATACGGCACAGCATGAATAACAGCATTCATTCCATCCAAAGCTCTCAGCTTGGGGTAGGTGGAAGGGGCAACATCCCACATACGTATGTATATGCATGTGTGCTATTCCAAGACTCACATATGCATGTACACCCTAATTCAAGACCCTCCAGGCTTCTGATGAAGCCCCTAAGGAAGGCGTATCTATCATACCTCAACTCAGGAATCACAGGCTGAAACTCTCTAGTTGAAATTCAGATCTTTTCACTGTCTGGCATAATAATTCTCTGCCAACTTTGTCACTATTGTCTCTTTAGTGACTCAGCTCACCTGTTTCCTGTATCCACACTATCATGAAGCTATTTCCCAGCTTCATGATTCCTGGGTTTCTTGGTATTTTCTTAGAATTCCCTTGATCTGTTGCTGCTTGAACCAACATGCCTTCCTTCAAGACTTGGCTCAGATGCCAGCTGCCACAGTGAGAAGGTATTTCTATCCCTCTAGCTGAATCACCTGATCTGTCCTCTTACCACATCTAGAGCCGCTAGTTAATTCTCATTGTTAATAGGGCCCATTCTTCATTTCTCTTTCCAGACCAGAGCAGGAATCCTTTCCCTTCCCTGGATGAGACCTAGCCTAGGATGGAAAAGTGTACTGTACCTCTTAGAAGATAGGTGTGGAAGGAACACGGAATTTTTCCAACATGGGGCATCAGGAAGGGTGTCTAATAGAGGTAACAGTTAAACTTGGCACAGTTCTTTGAGGAAGTTCAAAATAAGATGCAGAGCTGGGCATGGTGGTGCATACCTGTATTCCCAACTAATCAGATGGCTGAGGCTGGAGGATTACATGAGCCCAGGAGTGTGAGGTCAAACTTAGCAACAGAGCAACATCTCGACTCTTAACAAAATAGAGATGGCCTGATGGACTGCACTGAGTGTAGTGCAGAGAGCCCTCCTCATCATCTCTTGAGCTTTTTTTCCTTTACCACAACATGCATATCTTTAGTGAAAGTATTTTCCTTTCCAGAAGAGATTTGAATTGTGGTGGCCTGGTCAGCACCTCTGGGACCAGCTCTGTCTCTGGGACTTGTTCCTTGGGTCATAGCTGAGAACAAGTGGACTTTCCAGGACTTAGAACTAAATGCTCTGTGCTTGGGCATCCTGATGAGGATCTTGAGGACAGGAGCGGAAGCTTCCCTAAGGCTGTTCTTAGGAGAGAATGAGGCCCTTAGAAGGCCTTTAGAAAACTTTCTCAAGATCCAAATTGTTCTTGGCTTCCTTTCATATGAAAACAAAGCTTATTTGCTGCTCTGATGATGCCATTTGCCTTCACTTTTAATGTTTAAGTAAAGTAACTTCACAGGTACTGCTGCAGATTCTGTAAACAGTGGTAGCTGTGTGCTGCTAACACTCTTGTTCTGGGCACTGTGGACTTGCTAACGGGAAGAACTAAGTCTGGTTTTCCTTTCAGACCACATGGCCTGGCATAGAGAAAGTCTCAGTCTTCACTTTTGGGTGTAAAGTTAATATGTTGCTGTGCTTTTTCAAAACCCAAACAGAAAAATAAAGTATATGACATAGATGTCACTGCACGTAGCCTGCTCTAGGCTTCCAGCATTGGAACATGGCAAGCAGGAATGATGTATGTAGAGACACTGAGTGAGTTTGGGGAGGGTATGAGGGCTGTGGCCAGGACAGTTCTCTCCTGACTTGTCGTTGATCCCTGTGTCAGTGGTTAGTGCTCAGCAGCTAGGAGCACTGGCTGCTCTTTTTTTTCATTAATTTAAAAAATAATTTTATGTGTATGAGTATATTGCCTGCATGTGTGTAAGTGCACCCATGTCATGCAGTGCCCATGGAGGTCAAAAGAAGGCCTTGGATTCCCCTGGAACTGGAGTTACAGGCAGTTGTTAGCTGCCATATGGGTACTGGATTCAAACGCTGGTCCTCTACAAGAGTAGTCAGTGCTCTTAACTGCTGAGCCATCTCTCCAATTCCCCCACCCCTTTTAATTATAAGTGTATTGTCTACATGTATATAAATGGACCTGTGTCGTGCAATGCCCGTGGAGGCCAAAAGAGAGTATTGGATTCCCCTGGAACTGGAGTTACAGACAGTTGTTAGCCACCATGTGGGGAATCGAACCCAGGTCCTCTGCAAGTAAAGCCAGTGCTCTTAACCACTGAGCCATCTCTCTAGCCCTAAGCACTGGTTCCTCTTGACAGAGGATTCCAGTTCCAAGGGAATTTGACATCCTCTTCTGTCCTCTGCAGGCATTGCATGACACGGGTGCACTTATGTGCAGGCAATACACTCATACACATAAAATAAAAAAATAATAAATGAAATCCTTTAAAAAACACACAAGAGGGCAGGAGAGATGGCTCAGTGGTTAAGAACACTGACCGTTCTTGCAGAAGACCTGGGTTCAAATCCCAGCACCCACATGGCAGCTAACAACTGTCTGTAACTCCAGTTCCAGGGGATCTGACGGTCTCTTTTGTCCTCTGTGGGCATTGCACGACATGGGTGCACTTACTTACGTGCAGGCAATACACATAAATTTCAGCTGCCATGTGGGTGCTGAGAATCAAACCTGTGTCCTCTGCAAGAGTCTCAGGTGCTCTTAACCACTGAGACATCTCTCCAACGCCAAGAGATTCCTTTTTTATAGGTGTTTTAATGAGAGGACCTAGGTTCAATTCCCAGCGCCCACATGGCAGCTAACAACCATCCTTAACTCCAGTTCCAGGGGAATCTGACACCCTCTTCTAACCTCTGTGGCATTGCATGACATAGGTACACTCACATACATGCAGGCAATATACTTGTACACATAAAATAAAAATAATAAACAAAATATAAAAATATACATAAGAGAGAGCCAGGTATGGTGGCGCACGCCTTTAATCCCACCAACCATCATTTGGGAGGCAGAGGCAGGCAGATCTCTGAGTTCAAGGCCAACCTGGTGTGCTTAGTGAGTTCTAAGCCAGCTGGAGCTATAGGGAGACCCTGTATCAAAAAGACAAAAAAAACAAAAAAAAAAAAAAAAAAACACCTTAAGAATAACATATCTATTACTCACTTCCTTAATAGCTGCTGAAATTTGGTTACCTTTTTTCTAGTTTATTTTAAAATAAAAAACTTAACTGGCCATGGTTGGCTCATGCCTATAATTCCAGCACTCAGGAGGCTGAAGCAAGAAGGTTGCCTTGAGCCAAGTTCCATGCTCAGTGGGTTAGGTGCTTGCTGTACAAGCATGAGAACGAGAGTTTGATCTGCAGCACCAACATAAAAGCATATGTGAGACCCTGGTTCCATTCCCAGTACTAAAGAACAACAGATTTATATATAATATATATTTTTTAATTTTATTATTTTTATTTTATATGCATTGCCTGCATGGATGTAAGTGCACCCATGTCATGCATTACCTGTAGATGTGGGCAGAGGGTGTCAAATTTCATG